TTGATAGTTTGTATTTTAATTCTTCTCGTCCATTAAAAATCCACATGTTCAAAAATTAAACCATAACCACATTCTCCTGGAGTAGATTTTTTTTTCAATGAGAATTAATAACTAGCAATTAATGATTAAGGCCCTCGGCTTCCACAAACTGATGATTAAGTCTTAGGAAGGGTATTATTATTTAATGGTCAAAACGGATCAGGTCACTGCTGGTGTGCACACACATTTGAGTCAAGGTCTTTGAGTGTAACCATGCTGTATATTGGTTTCATTGTATCAATGCCAGTTGACATAGTGTTAAGCAATTTGAAATTCTTTAAGCCTTTTCTCCTTTTGTTATATGATACCCAGAGAGAAAAATTGTTAAAATACTACTCAAATTACTTTCCAAGTTCAGCACTGTCGAAGAGCCTTCTCCTTTCATGGCGTCTCAGCATTAATGTGAGACATGCCTTCCCATGAAAATTTAATTTGAAAACCCATCAGTTAAATTTTGAAAGAAATGAATAAAATTCTTGACTTATGTCTCATTTCTCTCATTTTGCCAAGTGATAAAATCTAGCATATTGTACCCCAAGTCATGCATTATTACATAGTGCAGGTTTACGAAAGCCACTAAATCACTTGCTATGTTTTTTTCAGGGAAATACTGTTATAGTGGAATAGAAACAAGTCACAAAGTAGAAGATGTGTTACTGAAATAAATCACACCCAAGCCTGCCTAATCAAAGTTCTTACTCTGTGGCAGGATCAAAATGTGTCTGAATGAAGCTGAAGCCTAATTTGAGGAAAGACTGTGACAGAATGTCTATACGTGGTATGATAGGCAATTTGACTGTTTGCAAATGTTGATCAACTCAATAATGAGTTGCAACATAACAGACTGGATGCAGCCTCACCCACAGAGGAAGACACACATTTACAATAACCTAGTATGAAAGGCCATTTGATAAGCTCATGCTTATCAGAAATTCTAGAAATGTGAAAGATCTCAAATCATAGGCACTTAATTCCTTCTATAACTTTTAGATCTCTTGAGATCAAATTGTTGATTTAAAGGCACATATAATTAAATGATAAAAAAGCACAAAAAGAAAAAGGCACTCTGGAAATGTGGGGGCTATAAACAAAGATGTTTAAATGAGTTAAGCTGTTTCTGAAGTTGCCTGGTTAAAAAGGGCTTTGCTTGTATTAGATTTACAAAGCTTTGAATCAAAGGACTTTTTCCTTTTTTTTTCTACTCTGTAGAGTAGAGTGGTATTTCCCTGGGTCTTTTCCATTTTGAGATATCAATTTTCTAATAATTGTGATGAGCCATTTAAGTTAGACTTGAACTTCTCTAATACACAATTGATTCGAATGTTGCTGTTTGGCTTAAATTAAAATGCAAAACAATACTATGATTTCCATTTCAAAAAGTGACTGGGCATAGAGAGTCAAGGAATTAGAAAAAGCAGTAATATAAGAAGAAATTAGCTTGCCATGGTTTGTTTACAGTGATAGAAAAGACTGCTAGAATGTTCCTTTGTTAAAGGGACATCTTCTCTCTTTTCTCCTTTCTAGTAACATAGTTGAAGTTGGTATAGAAATGCCCTTATAAAGTTGTGGGCCAAGGTGCACATCTGTGTGCTACGTTCAGCGCTGTGGCAACAAGTCAGCTATGATGCTGTGGGAAGGACGAAAGGAACAAGTTGAGAATTTTCATTTACAAACTCCAATTCTCGTCTGTTTCACATAGGTGCGTGCTAGTGCAATTGCCCAAGATGCTGATCAGAATTACGACTATGCCAGTAACAGCGTGGTTCTTCATCTGGAGCCAGGAGATGAAGTCTATATCAAATTAGATGGTGGGAAAGCCCATGGAGGGAACAACAACAAATACAGCACATTTTCTGGATTTATTATTTATGCTGACTGATAATGCAGAAACTGACCTTGCTGTTCTGAGTTTGAACACTGGATTCGTATGGCTGACGTCAGTGAATCAAGGATCCCAGGGGATGCCGATATCGGGGCACCTCAGTTGTGTATATGTGGGGAAATCAAATGCTACCTGACTCACATCTGTATCACTCAGACACATTATGTAAAAAAGTATTTAACGCAAGATAAGCAGATGTGCAATCCACTACCGCCAAAGCCAATACTCCTTATCGTTAGTGTCCATGTGAATGAAGTACTATATAGATCACAAATTTTTATAGAAAAATCTAAGACACTGAATTATTTCTTCAATATCTATGATACTTTGGTGTACTGTGATCTTGCTGCTTTTATCCATGTGTCAGCTTTGGTTTGTGTGAGTTCATCTGCTTATTATGATACTTGGATTCTATTTGTAGTGTGGGGAGGAATCATTTTACCCTGCAGGAGAAGGTCTAATTGAAGTAATGCTGCTTGTCCCCAAAGAAATTGTTTGCCTTGTACTCTTGTTAACTTTAGAGCTAGACCTGGGAATGATTCAACTTCAAGCCTTAACCTGGAATTTTCTGGATTTGTGGGAATTCCCAAGCCTGTGACCATTTTCACATTTATTTTTTCCTTTTCATGTGAATTTTCTTTTCTCTTTTCTGGTGATAGTCTTTAAAAATAGAGATTGAAACTGTATCATAGGATTACCCTCTTAAGTGTGAAAATGTGTAATTATGTATGGTATTTAGAAATATCCCTTCTGTGTCCATTTTGTCAATAGAATACATTTAGACTCACTTGGATGCCAGAGAACTTTATTCTTTGGTATGAAATCAGACTGAGGCTTTTGCCTTCTTTGGAACAAAACATTGTTCATAACCCAAGGCACAAAGGTTTAATTTGGCCTACTGCATGCGTCACCAAGGGGACACTAAGTAAGACCTTCAAACAGTTACTACAAATCTTTGGCCTGAGGTTATTTCAAAATTAACCATTTCACATAGAGCCAATATGACAGTAAAGTGTATATATTTTATATAAATACTTGCCACATACTTATTTATATACATATATATGTTAGATGAAATATTATATATATGGCCCTCAGTCCACAAGGCACAGAGGCTGCAGAGCCTCAAAATTAATTTTAAAAGTATGTATGTATACACTCACAGAATCATGCATAAATTATTTGACTTACTTTAGATTGAAATATATTTTAGATGATAAAAATATATGGAATAGCAAAACAATAAAAAGGCTTCTCTTTAAGAGTTATCCAGAAAATTAAATCTCAGTAAATTCAAACGCTCTGCATTTCATGTGTATGTGAAGCCTGTGGCTGCTGTATTGCCGTATGCCAATCAATACTTCAACTGCATTCTCTGGTAGACTGTTAACACCCGGATGACAGGATCCAAGCAGCTCTCCTCCACAATGTTTATGAAATATATGCATTTGAGTTATCATTTTTTCCTTTCAGGTGGATTGGAGCCGACAATACAGTGCAAACCCATTCTCTCTAGTTACAGCGCACTGCCAAGAGCCATCTCTTGAAGGAAGATATCAGAATGCATGCAGATACATCCTACTATCTCACAGCTTCCACTCTTACAATGAGAAATCTCTTCCTCTTTCAGTTTCCTTTAAACACTCTTTGACAAGTAGATTTCAAGACCAGAGATGTAAAAATCTGCTTGCTTTACTAGTGAAGGACATTTGCATTTTTTCCTTTAAAGGACTTGGTTTGTTCTCCTGGCTCATTTCATGTTGGTACTTTTTGTTCTAACACACAGAAAGCTTGATCAGTTATGATCAGCTGAAATATCTTTAGTTTAGCAAATTTCGACTTTCCAAGAGTTATGCATGGTGCTCCCATCTGAAGGTGGTGTTTGCTATGTTTAAATGCCTTGGTCTGAGTAACTGTCATGATTTATATGATAAAAACACTTAGCTCACTCATCATGAGTAGTGACTAATTCTACTTGGCCCTTCTAATGTGTAAGGTTCCTCGCAAATGAATTGCAATAGTTTTAATTTTTATTTAACAGCATATATTTATCAGAGGAATTGGCAGCAAGAGATTAGAGATTTGTCATAGGTATCAAATCACATAGAAAGGATTGAATTAAAAGATTAATATATAAACAGCAGCGCACACCAATTAAGCATTTTAACTAACATTTTTTTTAAAAAGGCTGTATTGGCACAGAACATCATGGCTGGATAGCTTTCAAAGAGCAGTCTTTATAATCAGGCTGTCATTTCCAATAGATTTGACCTTTTCCTTAGATAAATAAACATTATTTTCTCTGTTTAGGCCTGAGGAAAAACAAAGTAAAGGAAATAAAGGGATATACGTAAGGCAAGCATTTCTCTTTTTTTTTTCATTATCTTATGAATTAATTAAATTGTGGCCTTTGTTATACAAATGTAATAATTCATTAAACTATATTATGTAACATATTTTGACTTTTATGGTTGAATTTTTAGAATTCAGTACTGTTATGTGTTCTTAGACAAACTATGCAAAACACAACAAAATGGACACTCAAAGCTGATTTATTATATGTTTATAGATAGATGGAGAACATAATTATCCTTTCAAGATATTTTCATTGCTGTGAATTGGTAATTTCATTACAACATCCTTTGGAAACAAAATAGTCTCAAAATTTAACTTTCTTTGTTGCAAAACCTATTTTAAAGTGTCATATTAGTCATTAAGCATTAATTAAAGAACAGCAGGGTAATTAGTAGGATCATCAATATTACAAAATCATTAGCTTGCTCCAGAAGGGGGCAATGTAACTAGAAACACTTTAAATTTTCTCAAGTAGTGCAGATGATGGAGTTGGAAAATAGAAAAGACCTCCAAAATTAATCTTAGGGGATATAGACTTTAAATTATTTAAATTCTGCATTTAGTCACTTAAATCATTGTTTGGAAATGCCTTCCTTTGTATTTATTTTATTAGGACAAAACACTAGGGCTCGCTTGGGCCCAGTAGCTCCCCAAGAGATGCCACTGTAATAGTTACCCAACTTCAGAGAAGGCAAAAATCTATTTCGCACAGGAGGGCAGTGATCAGTCATTAGGTCTACATAGTTCAGACTAATGCCTCATGGTGAATGTGAAACCACTGAATATTCTTTGCAAATTTTACCCTCAAGATCTATATTCTTTTCTCTTTTTTTCTTTTTTCTTTTTTCTTTTTTTTTTTTTTTTTTTTTTT